CTTGATTGAATGGAATCGACCTTGAATTGGTCTTGAATCGACCTTATCTAATTTGTTATAGGGTAAGATTTGGTTTTAAATTTTTGAAACCAACCCCTACTCAAGTCATTTATAGGGTCTAGGGGGTTTATCCTAACCAAACTGACTCGACAAACTAGCCTTGGTTAGCCTTGGTGGAACTGGCCACATAACCAAGCTTGCCTTGAAATAAACTCAAAAATATTTTTAAGAATATAAATATTTCAACCCAAAACACTTATTGTCACAAAATCCATGGTCTCACTTGACCATTGGAGTTACTTAAGTAACTTGATCATTTGTTTCCATTTTAAAATTTGGATGTGTATAATAAATAATGTACAAGGTAATGTTTACAAAATTTAAATTATAATATGACAAATTTTGAAACATATGCTATTATATCATAATAATCTACATATTTACTCAACTTAATTAACAAACATAATATATGTTTTAAGTTATATATTATCAGTATTGAAAATCAACTTTTTAAAGGACACATTTCATTTTTTTAGGAAGAGTAAATAAAGAACAAGTTCCGCGGGTAGACTCTCGAACCGACCCCAGAACTATCAAGGCCATAACCGACCTGGAACTAATCTTCATAGGGTAGGTTCTGGTTCCAAAAACTTAGAACACCCCTACGGGGTAGGTTCTAGGTTCTGCCATAGACCAAACTGAACCAACCCATGCTCACCCCTAATTCTAGTTATTATTATTTATTTATTTATTTATTCTTTCAATGACATTTCGTTTACCAAAAAAAAAAAATCTTGATAGAGATTAAGAAGACATGATAAGGATAAACAAGGGGAGGTGGACCAATCATAGGACTCCACCCGGTCCTAGTTGTCTTTGTGAAGGTTGAAGTAGTGTTAGTTATAAGAGCACTATTAACATGCTTTTCTTTCTTTTTTTAATCTTTTCTAAGCCTAATAGATACTTTCTTTTTAGGATTCATTTTAACTACATCTAATACTTTAGTGTAATAAATGTTATGCTCTATGTAATAAAATGAATTTGCTATAATTAAATGAAAATTTTAAACCATCAAAATAGCCCCTCATTCAGTATAATTGATCTCCTATCCAAATAAGGCTTAAAAAAACAAAATTCTTCTATCCAAATAATGTTAGGTTGCAGTTAAAATCCTATCGTTTCTTGGATGGGTGCAAGAAATTAATCAATTGATCCAGTAGGTTGCTTGGCATTGATTAATTGAAATCTTGATATATTTTACTTGGTTGGCTGATGTTTGATTGATATTAATTCTCTAATCTTAGCTAGGAGACCACTTCAATAGTTTAAACATCTGTGGTTTTTTCAGTTTTATATTTTTGGGTTGGCTAACAAAATAGTTGATTGAATGCATCAGTTGGGGGGGAGTAGATCATATGAAATCTAGATACATCATTTGGATGAATTCACAATGACTCCCCACAGCGCGCCTCACAGCAGGCCTCAACCGTGTATAGGGAATATCTTCAGTATTTATCATGAGAGTTAATGCACATCAAAGAATGTATCTTGCAGCATATTCCAACCATGCATTGGAAATATTTTCCATGTTTAAAAAATTATTTGAATGATCCAGATTGGTTGCAACCTCACTTACAAATATAATTATTTATTCAAGAGATCGGATCTATTCTTCACAGCTGGTGCCTCACTGGGGCCTCACACGCACATCCTATCATGCATTAAGAACATCTCCAGTACTTATTAATAAATATTTATGGGAGATGTCCTCAATACATGGTGATGTACGCATAAGGCACCCATTTGTGAGGAGCAGATCCCGTCACCCATTCAGTATGCAAAACTTGAGGAATCGAGAATCTTCCTAAAAAAATTAGGGAATTAGTACCAACCCAAACCCCCAAGCTATGGGGGTTCCTTTGGAGTTTACCCTTAAAAAAAATAGTGGATGGCAATCGGGGAGACTTTTTCGCCTATGCAACATGGGAGACAATCTTTTTTATAGGGGGATAGATATTAGATAACGTGGCCAGTTCAGAGGGTTTCGGGATGGTCTGAATTGACCAAATCAGCCCTCCATGTCAACGTCTCACATGTCACTCCAATTTGCTATCGCCATCGCTTTGTATTTTATGGGCTACATAACGAATCATGAGTAAATATATATGACAATGTTCTGTTCACATGAGGCCAATTCCCAAAATCTTTGAGATCGGATTTGCTTGCTCATCACATAAGGCGCTTTAGACGCACATCTCCTGTAGTTATAAGTTATTATTCAAAGGAGATGTTCCCAATGCATGGCGGATGTGCATGTGAGGCATCCAAGCGTGAGGAGCATATCCCATTCCAAAATCTTTGGTTGTTTTAATGTGTTTGGTAGAGCTTTTGTTTATTAAGTTTGTATTTTATTTGTCTTCAAAACCGAGAAAAGTAATAATGCCAACCGTTTATGACAAGTAGACACCACTAGGTGCCATTAAGTGCTACATAAGCAGAATAGTATCTATGAGTAGAGGTGGATTCGAGACAAGTCGAGTCGAATAGTACCAGGCTTGAGCTCGGCTTGAATCAAAAGTTCATAAGCTCGAGTTCGTTTCGGCTCGTTTTATATTTTATAAAAATATTTTATAAATGTTTATTATAAAAATATTTAGAAAAGATATTTTATAAAAATACAAATTATATATTAATTTTTTTATTTTATATTTAAAAAATTAAGAATTATAATATTTTTATTATAATTCAAGCCGGCTCGCGAGCTTCATGAGCCGAGTTCTAATAGGCTCGAGCTTGGCTCGTTTAATAATCGAGCCACTGAATTGGGCTCGAGCTCGGTTGAAACCGAGCCGAGCTGAGCTTGAGCTTCAAGGCCAATTTTTGTGAGTATTTATGAGTACGGATCACCATGATGAGCTAAATACTGATTTGGTGATGACATAGCAACACTTTGATAAAAACCTACTACGAAAAGCCCACATAACAAAACACACACTTAAAGGCTGTTTTAGGAGCATACTTTGAATGACATCTCATAATGAATGTGGTAAAATATTATTTACCCTCAATACTTTTTTTAGTTGAAAAGAGAAATAATTAATTAATGTGTCATGTATAGAGGTTCCTAAACAAGTTTGTCGAGTGGGAGATACGGAGTGTATACCAAATTACCAATCTATGAAATACTGACATGTTCACTCGTGATTGGTTAAATAACCCACAATACACAGTGGTGCCAACAGCCAATCTGAGCTCCTCAAATGCAAGGAAAGAACCCTAATTGAACTACCATTGATGTAGTGATGTTGCTGCCGGGGCACGAAATTGGTGGGAATGAGAGAGGATCCTCTCAAATTTTGTCTATATCCGATTGATAAAAAAGGATTCAGATATGGGTTTAGATCATACTTGATATCATTGGAGAAAATAAAATAGAACCATATACGGTCCATTTGTAATATTGGGTTGGAGTATCTGTCGACTCCTACAAGAAAATGGATATATTGTGGGAGTGGAAGGCTGGGAGCTAAAGCCAAACCTAAACCCGGCTCATGAACAAATTTATTAATGAATCGACCAATTCAACAATCTCAGCCATTTAGTTGATGGGCCACTCCCTAATTATTAGCCGATCTAATTCAACAATCTCAGCCGTTAAGTTGATGGGCCACTCCCTAATTATTAGCCGAACTAATTCAACAATCTCAGCCGTTAAGTTGATGGGCCACTCCCTAGTTTGGTAATAACCGGATCAATGGGTAAGCTTGATATTCCAAACGTTTACCAAGGAATAAACAAAAGAGAGAAATAGGATGGGAAGGAGAGAAGGAAAAGAATTTTTTATCCACCCACCAAAAGAATATTATATGATATATCAAAAGAATTATACTCCTCGAATACTCCAACTGCTTTTTAATTTTAAGTTTGCTCATCTCACAAGTCACAAGTCTCTCCTCTTCCCTCTACCCCTTTTTAAATTAAAAAGTGAATTAAGTTACATACGTCAATGGGTCGGATCTATCCGATAGGTTGAATCAAACCGATTATGTCGAATTTGATTTTGAGTTTTGTGCCCTAAACTCCTAATAAAACGGATTTGCAAAATGGATAAGACATGGATGATAATGACAATAAATTTTGTATTTCAATTATGTGAGTTGGGACAGATTTTTGTTATTCTTAATTAATTAAAACTTAAACAATTATATAATTAATAATATATAAAGGTTTTTTAGTTTCTTTTTTTTTTGTAATTTTGTTATATTTTATGCCTACACCGGTAAATTTTTTATTGTACATTTCATAATTTTAGTAAAAAAAGAAAAATCTATGATATCTAAAATAGATGACATCAAAAGGACTCTCATCAATCAAAATCCTCCGTAAATTTTAATAAAATCTACTTGATTGATTATCACTTTTATGATGACAGTTGATTGATTACAAAATTTTCTGATATATTTTGAAACTCTAAAAAATTATTTTATCAACATAAACAGTTTACTATTTACTTCCATATTTATTAAGGTTTTATTGTTATTATCAAAATTGAAGTTCCAACTAAGTCAGACTCAATTGTCCCAACTAATTATTGGTTTGGTTCTGATACTATATTGTCTCCCAATTATAATTGAATGGAGACCGGGGGCCGGTTCCACTCTGTCTCTGTACCAGATCCGACCAATTGACAGCTGTAGGCTTATACAATGCAGTGGGTTGTTGGGATTTTTTGACATGACCCGATCCGACCCGGAAATCCTACAGAGACCGGATCTGCTTCTTATAGAGCGATCTCACAGGCATATCTCACCTTTTATCGGAACATCTCCGTTATTATTCATAAGAGATGTTCTTAGTACACGGGGAGATGTGCCTGTGAGGTCGGTGTGAGGTGTGCTGAGTAAGGAACTGATCACAATTATTCATCACAGCTGCTCCGGGCCCGACGGCTAGTGTTCTCCGTCCCGCCGACCCCATTAAAGTTATATCCAAACTCAAATCCACAGCTCATCTGTTCTCTAAAGTGATGAGAAGCTCCCAGACATTCCCAAGCTCAGCTGAGCTCATCCTCTCCATCCCCATAAAGCAATCCGCGTGCGGGACGCGTTCAGGAAGAACCCACTGAAAAAAAGAGAGTTCCGGTATGCAGAAAGGAACCAGAATCGATCCAAACAACGTGTGCCCATGGAGCAGCCCATGTGATTGACAGGCAAGACAACCTCTCTGGCCCTCTTTCTCTCTCACCTGCTCTCTCTAGAACACCCGGGCACACTTTTCTTCTGTTGGGCCTTACTTTGGTTTGTTTGTGGTTCGTCAGAGACCAGGATAGAAGCTTCTCTCCTTCCCTAACAGAGGAGGAATATGTCTTTATGGTGTGGAGCTGAGTGTGTCGTCTGCATAGGCGTCTCTCGCTGGGTATGGAAACGCTGCACCTACGTCGGCTCCGACGACAGCTCCACCTGGCCGCTGGCCACCCCGGAAGAATTCGAACCCGTCCCTCGTATGTGCCACAGCATCCTCGCCGTCTACGAGGAAGACCTCCGCAATCCCAAAGTCCTTCCCAGGGATAGATGCCGTATGAACCCGGACTGGGTCGTGAAGCGCGTCACATACGAGCAAACCCAGGGCCATGCTCCGCCTTACCTCATATACGTTGACCACAACTATTGTGAAATCATTCTCGCCATTAGAGGTCTGAATCTCGTCAAGGAGAGTGATTACAAGCTCTTGCTTGATAATAAATTGGGAATGCAGATGTTCGATGGCGGGTATGTTCACCATGGGTTGTTGAAATCGGCGATTTGGTTGTTGAATCAGGAATCTGAGATGTTAAAGAAGTTGTGGGTTGATAATGGGTCATCGTATAAGATGGTCTTCGCTGGGCATTCGTTGGGCTCCGGCGTTGCCGCGTTATTGACGGTGGTGGTGGTCAACCACCGGGACCGGCTCGGTGGGATCCCCAGGAGTAATTTGCGGTGTTTTGCGATTGCGCCGGCTAGGTGTATGTCGCTTAACTTGGCGGTCAAGTATGCCGATGTGATATACTCTATCATATTGCAGGTAAAAAGAGGCCTGTTCGGTCTAATCTTTCTGATTTTTTTTTTTTTTTTTTTTTTTTTTAACTTTTGCGTTTGCTGAATTGTCTGAATGTTTTCTGGGTGTCATTATTAATTTTTGTTGCTTCTGTGATTGGTCCGATTGTTTTTTTTTTTCATAATTCTAACTTGGAGGTGCTGGATTTCTCTACCATGTTAATTTGATGAGTTTGGAAATTAATTTATCTGCTCATCCGGCTTTTTTTTTTTTTTGGATTGGAGATCAGCGGTCAGTTATCGGAGGTGAATTCCCATTTTGAATGTCGTTACACTTTCTGTACAACACAGATTACAGGGGAAACCAGCTTTGATGGGGATTGGTCTATGCATTATAAGGCCTATTCTCGTAAGAAGAAGGCCAACAAACAGGTTCTGATTTGGCATGGAGAAGACTCTTGGGACTTAGACTGATCTGGTCAAGGGTATTTTCGTCATTTTGACCAGCCCAATGTGGACTTGGTCTATAGCATCTTGTTCCTATCTTGCTGTATGGAGTGATTCCTACAAACCCTAGAGTGATTCTAGGACCCCTTGGGATTTCTCTCTTTTTTTTCTCTCTACCCTTTCTACTCTCTCTTCCTCTCTTTTTCTGTCTTGTGTTAGTTTGTTCCAGCCCTACTACATCAGTTTTGGTAGCAGAGCATAAGGTTTCAAATGGCTCATTACCATGGTAGAAACATGAGAGGAAGATTAACTGAACAAGCTAAAGAAGAGCTGTTGCTTGCACTTATTAATCGAGTGGACACCCTAGAAGCTCAAGTTAAAGTGTTGATGGAAGAACAAGAGAAAAACAACACTAGTGTTCCACATGGAGGAGCTGAAGCATAGGGTTCTAACACTAATAACCCTACTGGTCCACATGTGAACCACCTACTAAGGAATGCCATCAAACTCAAGGTACTTCAAATGATTTATATGATGAGTTGGTGGAGCATTCTAAGACTAGTATAGATGACTATCGGGATGATATTACTAGTAAAGTGAAGATAGAAGTTCCTAGTTTTAGAGGTGACATCAATCCATGAGTTTTCTCCAATTGGTTGGCAGAACTAGAGGAATACTTTGAATGGTTCGATATGTCAGATGAAAGACGGGTTAGATTTGCTAAACTTAAACTTGTAGACCATGCAAAAGTATGGTGGAGGAGTGTGGAGAATAGATTACAGAATATGGGTAAGCGTCCTATCACCTGTTGGGAAGATATGAAGCATTACTTGGAGGAGAAATATTTGCCTAATGTCTTCCAAGATGCTCCTCATGATGAGATGATGACATTGAGGCAAGGCAGCTTATCTGTGTCTGAGTACATTTAGAAGTTTGATGAACTTACTATTAGATATCAGTCTACAGAAAGTGAGAAGCAAAAATTAGCCCAATTTCGGAATGGTTTAACGGTTGATATTCGAAAGGAAATGATGACTGCACGAGTTTATGATGTAGATGATGCTTTTCAGATGGCTCTTAAAATAGAGAAGAGCTTGAAGTAAGTGAATAATAGGAGGTTTGGTATTCAAGCTGGGGAGGCAGCAGCACGTAAAAGTTTAGATGAGGGTAGAGTCACTAGACCTACATCTCATAATGTGGTTTCAGTAAGGTCTAATGGTTCCAAGTATCAGGGAGCTGATAACAAGGGGAAGAACATCATGATTGAAGAACATCATGATTGATGCTTGTTAGTGAAGGGTATTTCGGTCTTTGTACCTATTGAGATTGCTGAGTTGTTCTATTATGTTAGTTCGAGTGCCTCTTACTTAAATAAGGGCACTGGTGTCTTTCCCTATCACATTAATAATATAATAACAAGTATGGCCGAAAGTAGGGTTGAATTTTTCCCTAATTCGAACTAGACCTTTTTCTCTCTTTCTTCCTCTTTCTTCCTTCTWCTTGCTTGCTTGCTTTACTTGACTGCTAACGGACAAATAGACTTCTAGGGCAGGCCGATCTTCAACAATGCTAATAAAAGGGGAACAACAGAAAATACTTGTTTTAAGTGTGGTGGAAAGAGCTACTATGCATTTCAATGCCCTAATAGAAATCTACACATAAGGTGTGAGAAGGAAGGACAAGTGGAAGATGATGAAGGAGGCCTTGGTGAAGAGGAGTACATTGGGTTTGAACATGAAGAAGAAGATGACAGCAATCTTGTTGGAGTTGTTAGACACGTTTTAGCATCCTCTAAAGAAGAAAAGAAAGAAATTTGGCTTTGTACAGCGATCTTCCTCACCTTTGTCAAGAGCGGAGACAAGCTTTGCAAGCTAATAATTGATGGTGGTAGTAGCATGAATGTGGTTTTTGCAGCAACTGTTGAAAGGCTCAATCTAGTTGCACAACCTCATCCTCAACCATACAAGATTGCTTGGTTAAACAAGATGACACTTCAAATAGAACAAATAGCTCTTGTTTCTATTTCCTATGGGTCTTATGTTGATGATATTTGGTGTGATGTTATTCCTATGAATGCTACACATATTCTATTAGGCCGACCATGGCTTTACGATAGGGATGTATATCATTGTGGGAAAGAGAATACATATTACTTTCTATTTAATGGGAAGAGAATTGTTATGAAACCTATGTCACCTGATGAGATCAAGAAGCGAACTAAGACCCCTCAAAAGACAGCTCCAGCCCCAAAACAAGTAGTTGAATAAAAGAAGCAACCTCTCTTGCTGTCCAAGAAGCAATTTGAGGAGGAAAGCAAAGAATCGGGCCTTGTTTATGCCCTAATAGTGAAAGAAGTGAATAAACCAACACATGCTCCTATTTCAAAGGTGCCAAAAGAGGTTGAATTGCTGACTGATTTTTCAGATTTGATCCCAGAAGAGTTGCCTGATGAATTACCGCCTCTATGTGATGTCCAACATGCAATAGACTTGATTCCCGGGTCTCAACTACCTAATTTGCCTGCACATCGGATGAATCCCATAGAACATGCTGAGTTGAAGAGGCAAGTGGATGATCTATTGAAGAAGGGCTTCATTAGAGAGAGTCTCAACCCATGTGTTGTACTGACCCTACTCACTCCTAAGAAGGATGGCTCATGGAGGATGTAAGTTGATAGCAGAGTGATCAACAAGATTACAATCAAGTACTGGTTCCCTATTCCACGCTTAGATGACATGCTAGATATGATGAGTGGAGCTACAATTTTCTCTAAGATTGATCTTAGAAGCGGATATCACCAAATTAGGATTCGACTTGGAGATGAATGGAAAACCGCTTTTAAGACAAAGGATGATCTCTATGAGTGGCTGGTTATGCCTTTTGGCTTAACTAATGCTCCTAGCACTTTCATGAGAGTTATGACTCAGGTACTTCGTCATTTTATTGGTCGTTTCTTGGTTGTTTACTTTGATGACATTCTTATATAGTCATACTCCTGATGATCATCTTGACCATTTACGTCAAGTGATGAGAGTTTTACGCCAGGAAAAGCTCTACATCAACTTAAATAAGTGCTCTTTCATGACACCTACTGTTATCTTTTTAGGATTTGTTATATCCTTTGAAGGTGTCAAGGCTGATCCTGACAAGGTGAAAGCTATATTTGATTGGCCCACTCCCACTAACATCCATGAAGTGAGAAGCTTTCATGGATTGGCTACTTTTTATAGGTGTTTCATAAGGAATTTCAGTATTATTATGGCACCAATTACAGAAGCTATAAAAAAGGGGGAATTTGTTTGGTCTAAGGCTGCAACTAAAGCCTTTGAGACTATCAAGCAAAGGATGACTGCAACCCCAGTGTTACATTTGTCCAACTTTTCAAAAATCTATGAGGTGTTTTGCGATGCTTCCCAAGTTGGAATAGGTGGTGTGCTTATGCAAAGGACATCCTATAGCTTTTCACAGTGAAAAACTTAATGAAGCTAGACAAAAGTACTTTACATATGACAAAGAATTCTATGCTGTTGTGCAATGTCTTCGACATCGGCGTCATTATTTAATTTCTCAAGAGTTTGTTTTGTATTCAAATCATGAGGCACTCAAATATCTCAAATCTCAGAAGCATCTTAGTAGTCGACATCAGAAATCGGTTGAATTTTTAGCAGAATATAACTTTGTCATTAAGCATACAGCTGGTGCCGAGAACTGAGTAGCCGATGCATTGAGCCGAGTGGTGTACATACTTCATTCTATGTCTATACAGGTTGTGGGGTTCAATCATTTGAAGAAAGATTATGATGGTTGCAAGGATTTCAGCATCATTTATAGTTTTTTACAAGCTAGACAACAATCTGAATATCCTGGCTTTTCTATCCATGATGGTTATATGTTCAAGGGAACTTGCTTGTGTGTTCCTAACACTTCACTACGTGATTATGTTATATGGGAGTTACATGCAGGTGGAATTGTTGGGCATTTTGGTCAGGACAAGACCATTGCTATGGTAGAAGGTCGCTTTTATTGGCCTAGCCTTAAGGTTGATGTTGATCGTGTGATCAAACAATGCAGAATTTGTCAATTGGCAAAAGGGAGAAAGAAAAATACAGGGTTGTACACCCCTTTACCAATTCCACACGAGCCTTGGCAAGATCTCTTATGGATTTTGTCCTAGGTTTGCCCAAGACAGTAAGGGGTCATGATTCAATTTATGTTGTGGTAGACAGGTTCTCAAAAATGGTCCACTTTATTCCTTGCAGTAAGACATCAGATGCCTCACATGTGGCAAGTGTATTCTTTAGGGAAATTGTTCGTTTACATGGTGTTCTTATTACTATTGTTTCTGATCGTGATGCTAAGTTTATGAATTACTTTTGGAAGGCACTTTGGGAACTCCTCAATACAAAGCTGAAGTTCTCATCTTCTTTCCATCCTCAGACCGATGGCCAAACTGAGGTAGTTAATTGAAGCCTCGGTGATTTGCTACGTTGCTTAGTTGGTGACCATACTTCCAGGTGGGATCTCATCCTACCTATGGCTGAATTTGCTTACAACAGTTCAGTTAACAGGTCAACTGGAAGA